TGAAGTAAGTGTGGTCAAAATTATTAAGTCATAGGAAACTGAATGTATGAGAATATATGACTTTCAAAAATATGAAGCAGATACATATAAAATGAAAAATAAAATCACTGAAATTAAGAGTATAATAGCAGATTAGACAGAAAGATGAGAGATTTGTAAAGGAAATAGAATATAAATCTTTTAAAAATTCCAGGAATGAAATGCAAATGTCTAAAAAAATGCAAAACAAAAAAGAGTGGCTAAGACTAGAATAGAGTTCTGATAAATGTCAAATATGAATTCTACAAGTATAAAACATAACAAGGGAGAAGCAATATTAAAATATATAATAGCTGAGAAATTTCCAGGCTTGTACAAAGACCTCGGATTTAAGGAATGAATCCCAAAAGAGATAAAGCCACACCTAGGCCCATTGCAGTGTCTTCATAATACCATAGACAAAGGGCTGATCTTTCTTATTAAGAGTTTATTTATTTATTCATGAGAGACACAGAGAGAGGCAGAGACACAGGCAGAGGGAGAAGCAGGCCCCCTGCAGGGAGCCTGATGCAGGACTTGATCCCTGGACCCTGGGATCACATCCTGAGCCAAAGGCAGATGCTCAACAGCTGAGCCACCCAGGCGTCCCCAAAGGGATGATCTTAAAAACAGCTAAATAGTAAAGACAAATCAGGTACAATGATGGCATAATTAGAATGACAGCAGACTTTTCAACAGAAGCAATGATGGTTGGTGGACAATGGAATAAAGTATTCTGAGTGAAAGACTATAAGTTAGAATTCTCTACTCAGTTCAACTATCAGTCAAAAGTGACAGAAATATAGCTGAAATAATTTACTTCTAAGATATACTTGCTGGAAGAACCTTTAAAACTTGTAATTCCAAAAGAACACTGAACCCAAAAGGAAGGGGAAAGAGGCAAGAGGAAAAACAGTGAACAAAGATATTAGTGAGCACATTGGTAAATCCAAACAGCACCAATTATACAAGACAAAAAAAAAAGAGCTGAGGAGGGCTTAAAAATAATATTTAATCATAGAGAACAATTACACACAAGACAGGGGAATGATGTGATTGAACTAATACCTTAAAATCCTTTTGTGTGGAAAGAGGGTGGAAATACTAATTATTGTTAGACTATATCAAATCAGATGTGTGTGTAAAAATTTAAAGAGCTATCCCTAGATATATAGAAAAGGAAGACTAAATTAAATAGTTTTCATATTAGTAGAAAGATGTGAATCAAGGTGAATTCCTGAAAGGTGTATAAAGAAAAAGTGATCAATCGAATAGAAGAGTGGAAAGAAAGGCATAGGAAAACATCAGAATAAATAGAAAGCACAAAAACGATGGTAGAAATGATAAAAATATATTACTAATCGCAATAAATACAACTGGACTATTTGCCAATTGAGACAGAAATTGTCATTCTGGATTCAACAACAAACTCTAGCTATATGGTCTTAGAAAATGCTCTCCTGAAACATAAATAAAAAGTTTGAAAGTGAAAAGTTGGGAAAATATACACCAAATGAATACTGACCAAAATAAAGTTAGTTTAGCTATATTGATATCAGATAAAATGAATTATAGATTAAAGGTATTCCTAGGGCAAAGACTGTTACTTTATAATAATAAAATGAACTTTCTCAGAAAAATACAATTCTGTACTTGTATTCACAGTGTCAAAATATATAAGGCAAAAATTGTCAGAAATACAGGAAGAAATGGACAAATCCACATTAATAGATTTTAATACATCTTTCTTAGTAAATGATACATCAAAAGGCATTAAATGATAAGATGGAGAGGACACAAATAACACAATCAATAAATTTGATTTAATAGACCTAACTAGATCCCTACAACCAACATTAGAATACGCATGCTCTTTCAAAGCAAAGTTTCAAACATTTATTACATACTTGATTACAAAGCAAGTCTCAGAAAATCCTAAACAAAAAGCGACATTATATACCACATTCTCTTAGTACAAGGTAAAACTCAATAACAAAAAGATAACTCTAAAAAGGACCCATACATTTTGAAACTAAAAAGTACTTTTAAATAACCTCATGGGTAGAAAAAGAAATAATGAAAAATAGAAAATATTTTAAAATTGCAGCCATTTTCACATGGAGCAGTGGACAGCACCATTTATCTATAAAAGGAAGCTAGTCAATTTATTTGGGAAAACTGTAGCTGGCTAATTCACCAAAAATCAATTCACAGAATAGCCAGGTAGCCAAAAGCCAAATATGATGAAAATGAAACCACTGATTATTGATTTGCTCCAAACCCATCTGAATTACTGAGAATTTAAAAAAAAAAAATCTGTTCCATCTGCACTCCTACCTTTGTCCGTGTCCAGAACTGCCAAATAAACACTTTAAATGGAATTTAGGACAGTTCTCCACAATCACCTTGCAATGCGGATACAGAGGCAGGGGTGATGCAGGAATAGGGTCAGAGGTGCCAATAAAACTTTGGGGGTAGAGGGATAGGAAGGTTTCTCAATCATGGGGAGCATTGGCCACTCAGCAAATTGAGTTTTGGCAAACTGGTCATTCAGCAAATTGGATGTTGGTGAATTAATATTAGGAATGGCTGAGCCAGAGTCTACAAGCGGGGTCTAAGCCTGCTCAGGTAGGGTGAGGTTGAGTCAAAGAGGTGTCAAGATTCTACATGCAGCAGTAAAGGTGTGTCTTGGGTAGAGGCATTACTTTTTTCTAAATTAAGTGATTTTAAAGCGTTAGGGATCCTGAGATGGAGGGTGGGGTGCAGGCAGGCTCTGGGAGAAGAGTGACACTGGCTACTAGGAGGAAGTCTACCTCGGCAGGAACGTGGGTCACACAGCACAGGCAAGGGGCTTACCACTGGCTCTATGTCCTTTAGGGATCCTGAGATCAGATGCTGAACTTAAGCTTTCCTTTTCCAGGCAGTGAGAAGCTTGTGACATCTTCACATCCTCCTACACCTGGTACACACACACACACACACACACACACACACACACACACACACACACGGGTCCTGTGCCAGCGATTCTTTGGGTATGAAGGAGGGGGCTTGGCCCGGGGGTGAAGCTGGGCAGGAACTGAGAGTGGTCTCCTCTCACGCCTTTCCGTGGAGGCCAGGCCAAAGATGACAACCCTGTACCCCAGAGTTCAGGGAGGTGACCAGTAGCAAGGCCAGGAGAGACCCACGGGGGGCCAGAGCTGCTTCCGGGAACAGCACTGAGACTTCTGGGCGAGAAATTCTTTCCCCAAATATTCCAGAGGAAGAGAACCTACGGGGCAGGGAAAGGGGGCAGCGGGCTCCCCGCCCCCCGCGGCGGGCCTCTCCGCCTCGCTGCACCCCTGCTTCTCCGCCTCGCTGCACCCCTGCCCCTCACTGAGCGGGGTGAGCTGCACACGCCCACCTTCTCTGAGCTGTTCCAACAGGGGGTGGTCCTCCAGAGACGGAACGAGGCTCCCAGTCCTCGGCCGGGACCTGCCCCCCACCGCCAGCCCGCCGCGTCCTGGCCAGGAAGTGAAGGGGCTCATGTTTGTTCACTCATCACACACTTATTTGAGGCCCTCTTACGTTCCTGGAGCTTCTGGGGTCACCTAAATCGACCAAATCGACTAGCAATTGGTCACACGAGATGTCATGACCCGGCTCAATGCTCTGGTGAGCGAGGGAGCTGGGTGGCAGATCTGAGGATGTGCGGGGGTCTGGCACCCACCGCAGACCGCGGGGCCGCGCCGTCCGCCCTGCAGCGCCCCCCGCCCCCTCCCCCAACACACACACCTCCCCGTGGCCTCGGAAACGGTTGGTTTACGGGATGTGATCTCTGGGAGAGGCGGGTCCCGCTTCATCCGAGCATCCGCACCTGGCACAGAGGATGCGCTCAGTAACTGTTGGACGCACGCATGGGGGATGGATGGATGATGACGGCCGGATGCGTACCTCGGACACACACCCCCGCAAGCTGGCCACCAGGCGGGACCCGGCGCGGAGCGCCTCCCCGCAGTTTCCTGGGGTCCTGAGAGAAGCAGGTGGGGAGGAGGCTTCGGGGAGACGGCCCCCGGCCCCGCCCCCGGCCCGCGCCACGGCGCCCTCTGGGAAGTGTAGTTCGCGCCTGCGCCCAGCGGCCGCCGAGGCCGGGGGTCTCCGGGCGGAAGCCGGGCCACCCCTCCTGGAGTGGGGGGCGTCCGGCGGCCGCGCCGCGCCCAGCCTCGCCTCTCCCGCGCTGCCCGTGACCCCAGCCGTGCTTCCTCCCGCGCTGACCTCGGTCGCCGCTGTCGCCGAGGGTCGCGGCACAGTCCGCGGCCGAGGAGCGGGCGCCGCGGGCCGCGCCGGAAGCTGAGCGCGGAGGCTGAGTCCCGGGATGGCGCGCCAGGTAAGGCGAACCGGGAGGACAGACGGACCGACCCGCGCCTCGGTGGGTCAGCTGGGCGCGGCGCGGAGCCGTCCCCCGGCGGGGGGCAAAGACCCCGGCATCCACCAACTTTGGTATCGGGCTGCGCTCGGCCCGACGGGCCTGGTGCGCAGGAGTCTAGGTCCTCGGACGACCCCCGGCGCCCTCCCCAGCCCTTGACCCCCAGTGCCCTGTGCGCGGAGCCTGTCTCCACCTGCGGAAACTCGTTCCTTGGGGTTACGCGTCGCCCTCCCTCGGCCTGGCTTCTTTTAATTATTAGTTATCCTGGGAGCCGTGGGCATCAAGGCCTCAGGGGAAGGCGTAAATCTGATGCTTTTATTCTGGGTAGGATCCTGGATCCTTGGGGGAGGGGACATGAAACAAACTCCCAGGTTTTATCCACCAGGTAAGGTGTGTAGATTCTAGAGCTGGAGGAAGAGCCACATCTGTCACAGCCTGGCAGTTTGGGCGAGTTGTGTGCGGGACTGGGAAGATGCCAGGAAAACATGATGATACCAGTGGGGAGTTGTTGCAGTTCCTCTGGGTGGGCGCCTGGAGCCAGTTCTGTAAGTTTGGTGGCCATGAACTTGGGCGGTCCTCAGCCAATTGTAGACTCCACGGTTTGGAGGTGGGTGGGTATTGGGATAGGGCTGGGACATTCTGTGGCCAGACCTAGCCGCCTGCAGCCAGAACCTCCAGTCATTCATGGCCTGCAATCTGGAGAGAAACCAGGACAAGTGGATGTTGTGGGAGCAGGGGCGGCCTTCCTTGCAGCTCTGGCTGTGCAGCGAAGCAGCCCAAGGATACCCTTGCTCGGGTATGCCCACTGGTCCTGTGCTAAGCTCTCCTGCAATTTCCTCTTCCATGAAACGAGGGATTTGGACCACCAGTCCTTCAGATCTGATATTCCGAGTAGGATGCATCCTGACACTATGTAGCCTCACAGAGAAGGTAGGTAGGAGTGGCTTTGGGGATTGGTAGATAACAGAGAGAGAGTTACAGGGAAGGCCTCTTGTCTTCCTGTCCAGTGTGACTCCCCAAAGGCCAGGGATGTGTGAGCACAGCCCATAAGTGGGAGCAGCAGGGTGCAGGGTCCAAACTGGGAACCCAAACTTGAGGCACACTGGGGGAATGGATCTAGGCTGGGAAGGAGTGCGGAAAGATGGACAGGTCCTGTGGGCACCAAAGCTGTGGTTTTCTTGTTGGGCTAGTGACAGGGTAAGGAGGAATGTTTTAGGAGGAACAGCATGGTGGCAGTGAGCTCAGAGGCTGCACAGTTAACAACAGCCCTGGGTCAATCCAGAAAGCTTTTCTCCTGTTGGTTGAGGGAGGGAGGCAGGCCTGAAAGCCCAAAGGAGTTGAAGTAGGGCCCAGGGAGGACAGTGGGTCCAGACTGCAAGACAACAGTGTGTTTCCATCCTCTGAGGCAAGCATTGGTGCCTTACGTGTTTGCACACTCATGTTTGCTCACTCCCTGATACACATACTCCCCACTTGTCCTCCACCTTTTCTGGGTAGAGGGAGGCCATTGATTGAACCACCTATTCTGGCCATAGTCAGTTCCCATTTCCATTTCATAAGAACTTTGTTTTGGAGAATTTGTCTTGAGGCTAAGATGGTGAAAGACCTGGAATCCATCTCTTCCAGCTGTCTAAAAGAGTTGGGTATATTTAGCCAGGAGATAAAGAGGCAAAGTCAGGAGTAGTGTGTGCTGAAGAGCCCATTCTGTGTAGCTGGAGGTGGCAGGCTCTGACCTGCAGGTGGACGTCAGGCAGACAGATTTGGCCATGTAACACTAATAGCCCTTATTCCATCCTAGTATTTGTTCTAGCCTCTTTTCCTATGTTGATTCACTTACTTTTCACAACATCCCTGTGCTGTAGGTCATTATGATCCTGATTTTATAAATGAGTTCACCGAGGCCCAAGTGGGTTAAGTAGTTTTAGCAAGGTCCCATAGCTAATATGGAGCAAAGCAGGGATTGGAACTCTAGCAGTCTGGTTCCTGAAGTCCAGCCCTAACTCCCATGCAGTAGCTCATCTGTGTGTCCAGCACTTCTTTTTTAAGATTTTATTTATTTACTTATTTTAGAGAAAGAGAGACCGAGTGCGCACAAGCAGGGGGGATGGGCAGAGGGAGAGGGAGAAGCAGATTCCCTGCTGATCCCAGGACTCTGGGATCATGGCCTGAGCTGCAGGCAGATGCTTCATCAACTGAGCCACCCAGGCACCCCTACATCCAGGATTTAAATGCCACATTGGGCCAGTGATAGGATCAGCTGCTGGGAATGTGGTGAGCCACCCATTACTGAAGGAGAAATTCTCTTCAAGGAGGAATTGAAGAGCCATCCTATTTTGGGTGGAAATCAGCATTAAATGATCCCTGCCCCGGGACACCTGGGTGGCTTAGCGTTTGAGTGTCTGCCTTCCGCTCAGGGCATGATCCCGGGATTCTGAGATCAAGTCCCGCATCAGGCTCCCTGGGAGGAGCCTGCTTTCTCTCTCTGCCTATGTCTCTGCCTCTCTTTGTGTCTCTCATGAATAAATAAATAAAATCTAAAAAGAAAAAAAAAGATCCCTCCCTTTAAAGTTCTAGGCATTTGAGAGCTGGCTGCTGGGAAGAAGGAGGGCCAAGCCTGTTTGCAGGGGTCTGTGCCCCAGCATATGTTTCATTTCCAGCAGGGCTGGGCAGGCCTCCAGCCTGTGACAGGGCTGCAGTGCTCCCCTGGCCTGTGGCTCTGAACTAAGAATTTGTCAGAGTCGTAGGAGGCTTGAAAACCTAGATTTCTGGGCTTACTGCTAATTTAGTAAATCAAGGATTGGGCAGGGAAGTCAGACCTAATTAAAAGGAACGTGAAGTCAATCATTTGAACCTAAAAGCACTTTTATTTTTTCAGTCATTATGTTCTAAAAAGCTTCTGATAAGGCTGAGGAGAGAGTATTTTTCACTCCATTTGTTAAACAGAGAACTTGTCTGCTGACATCTCGGGATAAACTAGCTCCCCAGACCTGTCACATGGCTCTGCTGGGTCCTTCCTCCCATGTTCCCCGCCCCAGCCAGAGCAGTGCCATTTGGACTCTGCCATTTAGCAGTGTCAACAGGAACATTTCGTTGTACTCAAGATCTGCCACTACAAACTTTACTGGGTAATGATAATTTCTAAAATTAGATGTTCGATGCTTGTTTTCTTAAGATGTACCAAGATTACTGGTGATAGTCACAATTAAGCAGAGCAGAAAAGGCACTAAGATCTCAGTTCAGAGATCCCAGTCCTAGACTTGGTGCTGTGATTTTCCTACCAACTGGTCTGACCAGCTGCCTGTGGAGATCCGCCTTGTTAATCAACGAGAGCTCTGAAATGCTCGGAAAGGAAGGATCACACTTCTGATGTTTGGGTACCTTGACAATAGAGCCTGTGAGGACACATCTCATTATCTAGCAGAGTGCCAGTAACCTGTGAGTGTTCAAGCTAGAGGTGATAGGGAAAGGCAGGTGGAGCCAAGGTAGGCTGAGTGTCTCACATACCTGGACCACATGTAGGATAGCTTGTGTCAGGGAAACCTTGCCTGCAGAGAAGTAGCCACATGCCCGTGATCTCCGGCTGTCACTGTCAGATGGGAGATGTTCAGGCTGGCTTCAGTTCACATGAGCTATGTCCCATAGAGAGGGCACAGGAGAGCATCAGCTAATATCCCGGGCTGGGGAAGTGGCCTTGGTAGAAAGAAGATCCTCCATGCTCAGTAGCTGATATCAGCATGACCTTCCCTGGAGCTCACTTGGACCTGGTGAGCCAGCCATGTGTTGTGCTACCAAAAGGTAAAGAGGAAATGAGCCTTGAGGCCACCCTGACTGGTCTCTTCTTACTGGCCTCCTGGGGGTGTGTTTTGGGTAGAACTCTTGTTTCGAAGGTACAGAGCCTGATGTTGGTAGGGCACCCAGACTGTACATGTCTGCCGGTGGCTCGGGCCCCCTACTGCAGATAGCTAATCTTTCCTGTGGGGTTGGTTTGACTAGTTTCCGGGTCCTGGGGACACCTTATTTTGTTCTGGTGTATTGGCCAGAGTGGGAGTTTAATAAATTTTTGTGTGGCAAATAAAAGACAGCAGAATAACTGTAGCCCACTGGCCCTTTCCTGCCCCTCCCCACCTTTCCTCCTCCAGAGCAGTGGGTGAGTGGGGTGATAAATAGGGGGTTCCAACCTTGTTCACTGACTCTGGGATCCTCTTCCTTAATGTTGAAAACTCCCCCGAACCCTACATAGTTGTATACTTAGTACATTCAGTTGTAGTGTTTGCAAATATTTTAAAATCAGTTCAGTATTACTTTTAAAGGATGTGCACGTACTCATCACAACAGCATCTATGTATGTTTAAACATAGTGACCGAAACGTTCAAGCAAAAACACATGTGGTTAGCCAATAAGACAGTGTTTGTGCCCATTCTGACACTGGGCCAGTTGGGACAAGTCTGAAGTTCTGGGACTACTGTGCAGATGAGGACTTTCTGACTGAGGTGTCCCCCTGCTCCATCAGCCCTGACGTTACTCAGCCTAGGAGAGAGAAAAGAGGGGGAGTGTAGCTGGGAGGAGCAGAGAGACCAGAGAGCAGAGCCAGGCAGGTGGGCCATGAGCTCTGGGATGGAAGGGAGTGGCTTGAGCAATGGGGAATGAGGTTTCAAACCTAGAACAAGGCTGGGCCATGAGGTCCCCTGCCAGGTGGGGGCATACTCTGAGCCCTTAAGTGTCTGCGTCTTGTCAGGAAATATAAGGGGACCCTGTATTGGGGCCCAAGTCCTTCACGAGGAGGACTCCCAAGACTCAGCATAGACTCATATTCACAGCTGTGAGTTGTTACAGTGAGAGGACACAAAGCAAAATAAAATGTAAAGGCACATTGGGCAAAATATACAGGAGACCAGGTGTGAGCTTCCAGAGTCTTCTCCCAGTGGAATCACATGGGATGTACATAATTCTTCCGGCTGAGTTGTGATGGCTGGTGTGAAAGGTGGTCTACTAAGGGAGGCACCTGGCTTAGTCCGTAGAGCACGTGACTCTTAATGTCTGGGTTGTGAGTTCATGCCCAACATGGAGCCTACCTACTTTAAAAAAAAAGGAAGAAAGAAATGAATGAAAAGAAATGTTGTCTACCAGGGAAGCTCACTAGAGACTCAGCGCTCAGGGTTTCCATTGGTGGCTGGTCATGTGGCTATTTCCACCTAACACAGACCAGAGTCCCAGAGCAAAAGTAGATGCCCAGCATGAAGCACGCTGTGCAAATAGTTGACCCAGTAAACCACCCTCCTGTAATCCAAGTTCCCCAACAGTAGCCCAAGGCCAACCTTGCAGGGACAGTGGCCTCAGGCCTGATCTGCTAGCTGTTCTACATAGACCCTACCATTGGCTATGTTGTATCTGTCCAAAGTCCAGGAAAAATGGGGATGGCTCTTTGAGAGATGTTTTTGAGGGTGACTGAATGTGTTCCTGAAAGGGAGCAACTATACTTGGCCTATCGGGGTGGAGATGACTTCCAGAAGGTCTGCTGGCTGGCCAAGTGGGCGGGAGGGCATTTGGGAGCCTCTGGACTGAAAGCAGGTAGTCTGTGGATAGGCTGCCTCCAGCCAGGTGTGTGGACAGGGCCCTGACCAATTCAGCAGGAGAGTGGAGGGCAGTTGTGACCATGTGGTGGTGCCAGCTGTCAGAAGGTAAGAGATGTGTGGGGAGCAGATGCCATCAGTGACAATGCCAAGGTTAGCAGTGATGGTTTTTATTTTTTTAAATATTATTTATTTATTCATGACAGACAGAGAGGCAGAGACACAGGCAGAGGGAGAAGCAGGCTCCATGCAGGGAGCCCAATGTGGGACTCGATCCTAGGTCTCCAGGATCATACCCCGGGCTGAAGGTGGCGCTAAACCGCTGAGCCACCGGGGCTGTCCGCAGCGATTGTTTTTAAAGTTGCCGACTTGAGTTGATGAAACAAGGCAGTAGATTAACTTCTTTGCGTTATTAGGAATGTTTTCATTTTGTTCAATAATTTTAATTACAAAGAGTTTAGCATCTGTTTCTACAGCAGAGGGACCCTTCCCATAATTAATATTCTGTTTGCTTAATTTGCACGAAGTTCATTTTTGCTGTAATTTTAAGTGCATGCCTCTCAGATGCAGGTAATCTTCTAGGGTCTGATCGCCATTTTAATGCCCACGTAGGGATGATTTTTAAAGAAGTGAGGACAGAATGTTTCTCATGTCTTACAAAGCAGGGGATACTGTCCAAGGATGATCCCAGGTCTCTTCAGAGCCCTTCCTTGCAGAGTGGGCCACAGAGTACCAGGCTGCAAGCCTACAGGGGTGAAGAGTGGAGAGGTCTGGGAGGGGGCCAGAATGGGGGAGTGTGGCAACCAAGGCATGGAGGCCTGGATGGGTTCCTGCAGTGCATAGTACCCACGGGCTGCACGGGCTTGGTGGTAAAAGGTCATGGGGGTCACTGTGGCTGGCCGTGGCCCTGGAGGTCAAGTGCAGCTGGGGAAGTGAGGGCAGGCTCAGCCCAGCACGAGCCTGGAGTCCAGCAGAACAGCTGGACACCAGCACTGACCTGGCTGGGCCAGAGGGTCTGTAGGACTGTGGCCATAGGATTTGGGGTCTGAGGATCAAGGGCCACCAGTACAGGTGCATCGGCTGCTGGTTTTCTTCATTCCCAGTCACACGGCTGTCTGTCTGTCCTGGTACAGGAGGATCTGCCTCCTCTAGACTTGCCAAGCTGTTTGAGGTGTTCTCTCTCCCTCTCTTCCTTGTGGGGCTGGGAGGGGCCGCATAAACATTTTGCTTGTTTGATTCCTGGCTGTTGGGTCACCCCCCACTAAGAGTATGGATGGAGTGTTTGGTTCCTTATCAGACTTACCTGTTTTATGTGTATCTTGTCTTAATGTTGTAGTGATAGGACCCCAGGGCCTTGCACATTCAAGGCCAAGGTTGCTTATTACCTCCAGTAACTCTCCAGCATGGTGACTTTAGGGCTGGCTGGGCTTCCCAGCCTGGAGTTGACCTTTTCTTAGGCCCAGGCTGAGGGTCACAGAGTGTGAGGGCTCCTGGGGGGTTGCTGTAACAAAGAACCACACCGGGCAGGCTTTACCAGCAGGTGGATTCTCTCCCTGTGCCAGGGAGCCAAAACCAGGGTAGTGATGGTGGGGTGGAGGTGGGGGGGTGGGCTCCCTCTGAAGGCTCTAGGGGACAATCCTTCCCATCTCCTACAGCCTCTGCTGGTCCTGCCTTTTCCTTGGCTTGTGGCTGTGTCATTTCATTCTCTGCATCCATTGTCACCTGGCCTTCTCCTCCCTGTGTGACCCTATTGCTCCTCTTCAGCTACATCTGTGAGGAACATGTTTCCAAATAGGGCCACGTTCATGGGGGACGAGGGGAGGGACTTCAGCATACATTTTTGGGGACACAGTCCAAACCCCAGCACTGTGTCTTGAGCACATTCCCGCCCTGCCTTCACCTGCTCCCACCCATCAGGCCCGCACCATACTCTCACTGCTTCCCACTTCCTAGTGGACACCTGGGGACACAGAGAGACTGGTGGCGCTGGGAGGGAACCCCCAACTCCCCCGAGATTGTGCCCACAGGTGTCCGTGGCCTTCCAGGACCTGGCGGTGCGGTTCTCCGAGGAGGAGTGGCAGCTCCTGGGCGAAGGGCAGAGGGCACTCTACCGGGACGTGATGCGGGAGAACTATGAGACACTGCGCTCCCTGGGTAAGGAGTGGCCCGGCCCCACTGACAATTGACAGGAGGCGCGATCCAGGACCAAGCCAGTCCTGAATCAGCCAGGGCCTGCCAAGCCTTAGTCTCACCAGCAAAATGAATGCCATCTGAGGTGATGTTCCAACAGCCTCAGACTGAACTGGGGGCCTCACTGATCTTTTGTTCCATCGTTGTTTTGATAGCCTGCCCCAGGGTTCTGGGTAAGATTCAGGTGGGGCACTCCAGAATGGGCGGAACACTGAGCAGCCTGGTCTCTGAGCATCTGGTGGCCCCACGGTTCTTGAGGTTTGGAGGACCACACAAACACACCTGTAAACAGGTGCCTGCGTGGTTGTGGTAGGTGGGTGGAGGCCGACTTCCATTCCCAGGGGGCTGTGCCTCCTTCTTTTCTTTCCCAGGGACAGCTGAGCGGCTCCCCCTCTCTGCCTTCTTGTCTCCTACGGAGCCTGGAGGAACCATGGAAGGCAGGAGCTATGCTGGTGAGGGACAGGAACCTCCTAGGGGAGGAGGCCCCCTGGGTGAGTAATCTTGGCAGATGAGGGACAGGCCATTTTGGGTATCCTGGTCCCCCTGGGCAACCTTGTCCGTTCCACTGTGTGGTCCTCAGCCCCTGGCTCTACTCCTCAGGGAATGCTGTGACCTCAGCCCTTGCCATGCTCTATACCCAAACCTCTCTGAGACCTTTCACCCTTTGCCCACTTCCCTCCCTGCCCCCCAGGCTGTGAACCTGGCACACTGTTGCCCATTGTATACAAAGCCAGGAAGAAACCTGGGGTCACTCTTGGAGAGCGTCCCCTACTCAAGCCCTCTTCCTGCCACCCACCATGCAGAGCCAGCTGGCAGCTCCTGAGTGCTGCCACAGGGCTGACTTCTGGAGGCCTTGGATGGGGGATGTGGCCCACGGGCCTAGCCCTGGTTAGGCTGGGAGGGTAGGAGTGCCAGAGGGTCTGGCTGGTGGGAGGGAGCAGCTCTCCTTGGCATTCCCCTCAGAGAGGTACCAGGTACCGAGGGACAGTACCTGGAGTTCCCAGCCCCTGGTCCTGGCTGTCCCCTGGGGCAGATCCTTCTCACTTCAGGGACCTCAGTTTTTCTTTTGCTGCTACTCACGGGGTAAAATGCTGGTTTGAAGTCGTGCGCAGAAGCGTGAGTGCCAAGCTGACAGAGGGCGTGGGGGTTCACTGTGGCCTCTCCAGCAGGAGGAGCACCCCCGCACAGCCTTCACCTCACCGCCCTGGTGCAGCTGGTCAAGGAGATTCCGGAGTTCCTGTTTGGGGAGGTCAGCCCAGAGGGCGAGAGTGGGAGTGGAGCTGTCAGCCTGGACGGGGAACAGAGCAGCCCTGACGGTAAGTCAGGCGAAGTGGAGTCGCAGCTGGGTGCCGGGTGCCGGGTGCCTGCCTAGCCCCGGCCAGACCCTAGCTAGGGTCACCTGTTGCACAAATGCCCAGTAGCACGTCTGCCCCCAAGAAAGAATGGGTCATGGATAAGACTGGCTCCTGGCCTTTCTCGTGCCCATTTCTCCAGGGCTTCAGCCACACCATCAGGGCTGTGCGGCAGGTGAGGTCAGTCCCTGTTCTTAGATGAGGAGAGGAAGCTGTGCCCCATCAGCATGGCCAGTGGGGCCCAGTCCCCCCCGCAGCCTGTGCTCCTCCCACATCACCAGACTCTCAGTCCTTCACCCTGTTCTGCTCAGCTGGTGCTTTCAGCTCTCAGACTGTACCTCCTCGAGATGTCTGTCCCCACCAGCCCTGGCCCTCGAGCCTGCTCAGTGGATGGTAGATGACCCAGAAAGTGGGGGTGAGGTGGTCTCATCAGAACAAGACTCTGAATCGATGTTTCAGAGCCCAGGAATGATGATGCAGAGGATGCTGACATCTGGGTCATTGTAATGGAACAGGGCAAGGCAGGCCCAGATGGGACAACTTTGGGGGCATACTCCTTGCTGGGCTTAAATCTAGCTTCAGGTGTCCTCTTCCTCCTCCCCAGTAGCAGCTGTGACCGTGGAGACTTGCCCTCTCGGAGGCTTGCTCAGCTGCCTTCCAGAAACACCTACTGGCTGGCCCAGCATGGCTGCCACATCCAGCAGCAGCTCATCATCCAGTGGCCTGCCTGGAGCCGGCGGACAGGGAAGCCCCCTCCCCATCAGTGAGTGTGACCCAGCGGGGCCAGGCCTCTGACCCTGGAGTCAGGCAGACTGGACTCTGTGCTCTCTTCATTGTCCCTGGAACTCAGTTTCCCTTATTGTTAATGCAGGCCAGCTCCCCGAAGAGTAGGACAAAGGCCCCTGTCTGTAGACCAAAGAGAAAGTGTGATGCTTGGCCCCTGAGCAGCCTCTCTCCCAGCCCTGCTTGCAGAGCACCGCAGGCCTAGGAAACATGCAGGCCCATCGGCACAGGAATACACTTGTGTGCACCTGCTCTGAGTCTCAGACCTTCTCACCAAGGCAGCCCCAAGAGCAGAGGAGGGCAAGGGCAGCCACTAGAATTTCTCTGTAGAGTCTGATTGTATTTTAAAAGATTCTTGCAAATTTTGTATTTGTTGGAATATCTGTTTTTTATTTAAAATATTTTATTTAGGGATCCCTGGGTGGCGCAGCGGTTTAGCGCCTGCCTTTGGCCCAGGGCGTGATCCTGGCGACCCGGGATCGAATCCCACATCGGGCTCCCGATGCATGGAGCCTGCTTCTCCCTCTGCCTGTGTCTCTGCCTCTCTCTCTCTCTTGCTGTGACTATCATAAATTAATTAATTAATTAATTAATTAATTAATTAAAATATTTTATTTAGGGGGCAGCCCGGGTGGCCCAGCGGTTTAGCGCCGCCTGCAGCCCAGGACCTGATCCTGGAGACCCGGGATCTAATCCCACGTCGGACTCCTTGTGTGGAGCCTGCTTCTCCCTCTGTCTGTGTCTCTGCCTCTCTCTCTCTCTCTCTCTCTGTTTCTCATGAATAAATAAATAAAATCTTTTTAAAAATTTATTTATTTATTTATTTATTTATTTATTTTTATTTTTATTTTTTTTATAAATTAATTTTTATTGGTGTTCAATTTACCAACATACAGAATAACACCCAGTGCTCATCCCGTCAAGTGTCCCCCTCAGTGCCCGTCACCCATTCACCCCCACCCCCCGCCCTCCTCCCCCTCCACCACTCCTAGTTCATTTCCCAGAGTTAGAAGTCTTTATGTTTTGTCTCCCTTTCTGATATTTCTCACACATTTCTTCTCCCTTCCCTTATATTCCCTTTCACTATTATTCATATTCCCCAAATGAATGAGAACATACACTGTTTGTCCTTCTCCGGTTACTGTGGCCAAGTTCAAAAAGGGTGTTGCCTGAGTTCTCCTCTGGGATTTTGATGGAATCTTGTCTCACATTTAGATCTTTCATCTATTTTTATCTTTGTGTATGGTGCAAGAGAGTGGTCCAGTTTCATTCTTCTGCATGTGGATGTCCAATTTTCCCAGCACCATTTATTGAAGAGACTGTCTTTCTTCCAGTGGATCGTCTTTCCTCCTTTATCGTATATTAGTTGACCATAAAGTTCAGGGTCCACTTCTGGGTTCTCTATTCTGTTCCATTGATCTATGTGTCTGTTTTTGTGCCAGTACCACACTGTCTTGATGACCACAGCTTTGTAGTACAACCTGAAATCTGGCATTGTGATGCCCCCAGATATGGTTTTCTTTTTTAAAATTCCCCTGGCTGTTCGGGGTCTTTTCTGATTCCACACAAATCTTAAAATAACTTGTTCTAAGTCTCTGAAGAAAGTCCATGGTATTTTGATAGGGATTGCATTATACGTGTAAATTGCCCTGGGTAGCATTGACATTTTCACAATATTAATTCTGCCAATCCATGAGCATGGAATATTTTTCCATCTCTTTGTGTCTTCCTCAATTTCTTTCAGAAGTGTTCTATAGTTTTTAGGGTATGTTTTGAGAACCATTTGAATGGTAAATGGTTCTCCAACCTTTTATTTTCAGGTTGTAGGTGTCCTTCTGTCTAAAATGAGTCTCTTGTAGACAGCAAATAGATGGGTCCTGCTTTTTTATCCAGTCTGAAACCCTGCGCCTTTTGATGGGGTCATTAAGCCCATTCACGTTCAGAGTTACTATTGACAGATAGGAGTTTAGTGTCATCATGATATCTATTTAGTCCTTGTTTTTGTGGATTGTTCCACTGAACTTCTTCTTAAAGGGGAGTTTTAAGAGTCCCCCTTAAAATTTCTTGCAGAGCTGGTTTGGAGGTCACATATTCTTTCAGTTCCTGCCTGTCTTGGAAGCTCTTTATCTCTCCTTCCATTTTGAATGAGAGCCTTGCTGGATAAAGTATTCTTGGTTGCATGTTCTTCTCATTTAGGACCCTGAATATATCCTGCCAGCCCTTTCTGGCCTGCCACGTCTCTGTGGAGAGGTCTGCTGTTACCCTAATATTCCTCCCCATGAAAGTCAGGGACTTCTTGTCTCTTGCTGCTTTAAGGATCTTCTCTTTATCTTTGGAATTTGCAAGCTTCACTATTAGATGTCGAGGTGTTGAACGGTTTTTATTGATTTTAGGGGGGGTCTCTCTATTTCCTGGATCTGAATGCCTGTTTCCCTTCCCAGATTGGGAAAGTTTTCAGCTAGGATTTGTTCAAATACATATTCTGGCCCTCTGGCCCTTTCGGCGCCCTCGGGAACCCCAATTAAAGGTAGGTTTTTCTTCCTTAGAGTGTCATTTATTTCCCTTAATCTGTCTTCATGGTTCTTTAATTGTTTATCTCTTTTTTCCTCAGTTTCCCTCTTTGCCATTAACTTGTCTTCTATGTCACTCACTCGTTCTTCCACCTCGTTGACCCTCGTCGTTAGGACTTCTAGTTTGGATTGCATCTCATTCAATTGATTTTTAATTTCTGCCTGATTGGATCTAAATTCTGCAGTCATGAAGTCTCGTGAGGCCTTAATGCTTTTTTCTAGAGCCACCAGTAGCTGTAGAATAGTGCTTCTGAATTGGCTTTCTGACATTGAAGTGTAATCCAGATTTTGTAACTCTGTGGGAGAGAGGGCTGTTTCTGATTCTTTCTTTTGAGGTGAGGTTTTCCTTCTAGTCATTTTGCTCAGTGCAGAGTGGCCAGAAACAAGTTGTATTGGAACACGGGGGAGTATCACTGGTCCGTCCAGCTGGTCTTCTGTGGGAGGGGCCTGTTGTGCTGATTTTCAGGTGTTAGCACTTGGGGGAGCTGCTCTGCCCCTGCCTGCTGCGGGGCTCAGTGGGGGTTGTTTACCCCGTCAGGCCCCAGGAGGAACAGCCGCAGTGGCTATGGCAACTCTGGAAGCCTGGATTCAGCCTCCGCAGGAACTACGGGGCTCGGGGCTCTCGGCTCTCTGTCTGCAGGGCCTGGAGGCTCCGGGGCGGGGCCGCTGATCTGCTCAGCTCGGGGCAGGAGCGTCCTCGCTGTCCTGGGCCCTCCCGGCCTCTGCCTGTCCCAGGGGGAGGCCGGATCCTGGGCTGTGTCCCGGCGCCCTGTGCTTCGGGGCCTGCGCTGTGGGATTCGCGCTCCCGCCCCGCAGCCCCCTCCACGGAGCCGCTCCCGAGCCCCTCCGAGCTGCTCCGGCCCCGCGCGCTGCAGCCCTTAGGGAGCTCGGCGCAGTCCCCTGCGCTCGCAGGTGTCTGTTAGTGTCCCCGGGAGCCCGAGGGCATCCCCGCCCTCCTGGGTCCTGCTCCAACTCCCTGCGAGCCCCTTTCCGCCCGCCCGGGAAGGTTGGTGCAGCTCCTGCTCCTCCGGGACGGGGCTCTCCTGTCCTGGGGACACTCGCCCCGGCCTCAGCCCGGCTCCTCGCGGGGCCCCTCCCCCTCGGAGGCCTTTTGTTTCTTTATTTCTTTTTCCCCGTCTTCCTACCTTGATAGAAGCGCGAACTCTTCTCACTGTAGCATTCCAGCTGGTCTCTCTTTACATCTCAGGCCGAATTCGTAGATTTTCAGGATGGTTTGAAGGTTATCTAGGTAATTTGGTGGGGACAGGCGATTTGGGGACCCTGCTCTTCCGCCATCTTGCCCCTCCTCCTATTTATTTATTTTTAAAGATTTTATTTCTTTATTTGACAGAGAGAGAATGAGTGCACAAGTAGGGGGAGCAGAAGAGGGAGAGGGAGTAGCAGGCTCCCTGCTGAGCAGGGAGCCTGATGTGGGGCTCGATCCCAGGACCCTGAGATCATGACCTGACTGAAGGCAGACGCTTAACTGACTGAGCCACCCAGGTGCCCCTATTTAAAATATTTTAAAATATTTAAATGAGTATGGACTAAAATTGGCACTCCTGAAAAACAGACCGCATTTAGCCCATGATTTTGGGTGTCCTCTGGCAGATTTGCTCTGCGGGTACATGTGCTGAAATTTGAGAAGCATGAGTACAAGACTGGGTCCCGCGTGTCAAGGCTGCTGGACTCACTTATTGAGCCAAAGTCAGAGGCTGGAACTGGGGGGTTCTGGGTTATTCAGAGCAAGCAGTCTTGGTGTTTAAAATATAATGCCTGTGCCAGGACAGACTCCTGGGACAAGCCTGCAGAGACTGACTCTGCCACAAATGCAAGTTTCTAGGACTTGGCTGCCCTTTAGGGATGGGATAGGGGGCAGGGACTGAGAGGCCTGCCCTCTATGGGGACCGATCTGGGGCAGTTCCTCTCAGTCAGGAGCTAGGGTTAGAAAGACCTTTCTGTCTCTCCTTTTTTAAAAAAAAATATTTTATTTATTTATTCATGAGAGACACACAGAGAGAGAGAAAGGCAGAGATACAGAGGGAGAAGTAGGCTCCATGCAGGGAGCCCGATGTGGGACTCAATCCCGGGACTCCAGGATCACGCCCTGGGCCCAAGGCTGGCACCAAATCGTTGAGCCACCCAGGGGTCCCCTCTTTCTGTCTCTCGTGTAACAGAAACTGCTGACAAACCAAGAGTTACAGAGAAGGAATGCCCAGAAGCCCTAGCTGGGGAGCCCAGCCCTCCTACCTCTAGCTCCAGCAGGAAGAAGGAGAATGGAAAACAGGAGAGAGGGACCCTGGGGACAGGTGAGAGGCTGGCTCTGCTGAGAGTGGGGTGTGCCCTGAAGCAGAGCGGGGAAGGGAAACAGGTATGCTCAATTCACACAGGTGTGTCAGGCCCCCTGACAGCCCTACGCAGCAGGTGTTGTCCCTGTTCATACAGGTGGTCTTGCAGGTGCCATAGGACTCTCTCCTGGGAACAGCCCCCTGGAAGGCCTTATCAACTGCCTGAAGGAAATCCTCATGCCTGGGCCCCAGCACCCTGAGGTGTCTCCAGGCTTGCCACCTCCTGTCCCTGGCCAGGGCACCTCTCAGCTAACCAGAGTGGATCTGGGGCCTGGGAGCCCACCCTGGGAAGGTGAGTCCCTGGGGACCCGTCTCCTCAGGCCAAGTTTCTGAAGCCTCTGAAAGGCTCGATTGCCTTTTTGTAGCTGTTTCTCTGTATGTACAATGTCTTCCCAAAGGAACCTTCCCAACACGCCTGCTCCACTATTTCCTATTTCCAGATCCAAGTGGCTTTCTTAGCAGAATGACATTTGGTCAGCTGGTAGAAGGAAACTCAAAAACACTTTTCCCTGGATCCTTTTGTGATTTTTACTTGTTCTAATATGGAACCTCTCAGGAGGAGCTGCTGAATGTCACTTTGCATTGACTCTAAGTGGGTGTGTAGAGTCGGCAGGGGGTGGGGGGGACCGGGTGGTGCAGTGGGGGCAGGAGCCCCGTCCTGGAGCCTCGTGCCTGTTAGCTGCAAAGACTAGGAAAGCCTCCTGAACCTTTTGAGGCTTGGCTTCCCCATCTGTAAAAGGGGATACTTGTTCCCACCTTCAGGTACAGTGAGGCTAGGATACAGTAATATACATGTGTGAGTGAGTGTGAGAAAAGCTTGGTCCTCTGCAGAGAGAAGCTCTGCTTGGGGCCCAGGGAACCGAGGGCAGATAGGGACCTGTCAGCTCACTTCCTTTCCCGTGTGCTGACAGGGACACCATGTGCCCTGCCTTGGTACTGTGCTCTCACATCTTCCCTCCCTCCAACTGTCTGGTTTGGGTGTGAAAACAGGTTGGTTTTTGTTGTTGTTGTTGTTTTGGTTTGGTTTTTTTTAGATTTATTTATTTATTTTAGAGGGAGGTGGTGAGGAGAGGGGCAGAGAGAGAGGGAGAAAGAGTCTTAGACAGATTCCTTGCTGAGTGTGGAGCCAGACCCAGGACTCCATCCCATGACCCTGAGATCATGACCTGAGCAGAAACCAAGAGTCAGGTGCTCAGCCGCCTGTACTGCCCCTGCACCCCGGGACAGGCATTTATAAACCAAACACCAAGAAGACAGTGGCCTGTGCAAGTCTAAATGAGTTGCAAGGGATCCCTGGGTGGCGCAGCGGTTTGGTGCCTGCCTTTGGCCCAGGGCGCGATCCTGGAGACCCGGGATCGAATCCCACGTCGGGCTCCTGGTGGAGCCTGCTTCTCCCTCTGCCTGTGTCTCTGCCTCTCTCTCTCTCTCACTGTGTGCCTATCGTAAATAAAAAAAAAAAAAAATGAGTTGCAAAAAGACCCACATTTCCAGATTTCTGGCCCCTACCTGGATTGTCTACCTTTTGTTGTTGTGACTGGGCTCAGGGTGAAAATATGTTCCTGTCTCCTACAGTGAAGACAGAGGCAGTTTCTGGGGCTTGTCCCCTTCAGGGTCTGCTGAACTGTCTGAAGGAGATCCCGGAGGCTCGGCACAGACGTTCCGGCCCCTCAGGAGTGGGGGACCCACAGCTGCAGGAGGATCCAGGGGCCTGCCAAAGGAATCCTGGAGGTAAATGCCTGTGGCTGGGCAGGGATGGCCCCAGGGCCATCCCCCCTCCCCTGCTCCAAGCAGGGGTCCGCATCAGGCCCTCAGGCCCTCACCTCCTGTGTAGGTCACAGATGCTGCGTTAGGGACTCTCCCTGTAGACAGAGCTGGGCATGTAGGAGGTGTTTCATCTGTCCGTGCTCATGATCCAGGTTGGCTGTTAGAGGAGAGCTAAAAGTTCGAGAAGGGAGGAAGTGTAGGCAGGGGAGGCTGAGAACAGTGCTGGCCCCACAGACCCTTGGGGCATACTTTTGAATTGGGCGTTCTTGTCATGTTGTCATGTTTATGTGGACTGGGGTAGCATCTCCATACACCGCAGCTTCTCACACTGCTGAGAAAAGTGAGTTGAGACAGGCTCACCAGCCTTGGAGGAAAGATTTGGTGCCACCTGAGGAAGCCAATGTGACATCCCTCAGTAGAAACCTCTGGAGGCACCCCAGAGGGGCCAGGGCACGATGGGAGGGTGAGTTGCTGGTGTTTAATGGGTGACTGCCTTGGGGCTAGAGACTGCTGTGGAGGCCAGGGGCTTTGGTCCTGACCCTATAAAGGTCTCATGGGGTCTTCCCACAGGGCCCCGACCCCTCCAGACCCCTCCTCCTGGCCCTGGTCCTGGAGCTGGCCGTGTGCTGTCTGTGGTGAAGATGGAAGACAGCTGGACCCAGAGCCCCCTGGCGCCTGCGTCCTGTCAGCTCAGCAAGTGGACCCACAGCCCCTCTGCCACCAGCAGCCAGGGGGGTGACGGAGAGACCAGAGGGGGCCAAGTGCCCAGCTGGGGCCCCGTAGCTCAAGGTGAGGCCTGGGGGCATCTCTCAAGTCTTCCAGTGGGATTCTTGGTCCCACCGAGGCTCTGCTGGCTAATGGAGGGAGGACCTGGCTGTCCTTGTCAGGCAGTGACTTCCCCTCTTTTCACCCATAGCCGCCTCATCCCGGAGCCTTCCATTGTAGAGACTCTTGTTTTACAGAGATTTCCTGTCAGGAAGCTGGCCCCACTACATAATGTGTGGGTCTGTCTACCCGGCCCCTGGGCTGGGGTACAGATCGTGTCATTACCCTGCAGGACCAGAGAGCTAATCCATGTCCCCCTCAAGGGTGTTATCCCAGAAGAAGGCAGGTTGGGGCAGCCAGCCTAGGGCTGGGCCAGGGGAATGTGCCTGAGATGGTGATAGAGCCATCTCCCCTGTCCCAGCCAGCAGTGCCTCGAGCTCACCCCTGGAAGCCCTGGAGGCCTGTCTGAAGGGCATTCCCCTGAGTGGGTCGTTACCTCCCCAGCCGCCGGCAGCCTCTGGATTCCAGAGCCCTCAGCCAGGAGACCCCGGGTCCCAGAGGCCCCAGCTGCAGTCCTGCAGATCACACAGTGAAGGTAAATGGGGCCCTGGGCTCAGGGTGCTGAGGACGCCGGTGGGTCCCCCGCTCCTCATCCTGGGCCTCTGGAGGTGCATGGCCTTCCTAGCTTCTCACTGATGCCTCTCCCCAAACAGTTCCAGAGTGTGGTGGGAGCCACTTAAACTCTTCTGGTCTGCCACCCCCTCTGAGGACTCTTACTTGCTTTCCAGCCCCATGAGACAAACATATGGGTTCATGTGGGTTTAACTAGCGCTTGAGCCACTAAGCTAAGGGGAGACCCTGTGCGAGATCCTCTGGGGTAGGTGTCCTGGGTGCCCACACCCAGGGCCCAGGGGACCGCCTGGCTAGTGGCTTTCTCCTGATGTCAGCTGTACTGTTTCCTGCAGAGGTGACTGTGGGGCCTCTTCTGGCTCTGAGTCTGCAGGGCTATGTGAGAGGCAGCCCCGTCCTCCCCTCAGGTCCCCACAGCACCCCTCCCAGCTTCTCCTCATCCAGCAGCACCGATGGGGACCTGGATTTCCAGAGCCCTGGGGGCAGCCAGGCGCGTCCGCCTGGAAAAGGTGAGCTGGCTGGCCTGAGGCTGGGGTCAGTCCTGGGGAAGGACGAGAGGGCCCCCTGCCCGCCATCATGTCGGACCCAACCAGCCCAGGCTGCTGTGCCCTCTGGAGCAGAGCCGGGGGTGTTGCAACAGGAGCAGACACAGGGCTTGTTGCAGGGTGGCAGTGGGTCAGGGTGGGGGGGAGGTGGAGGATCTGTTTTAGTGACTTGGCTCAGAAGGGGTAGGACAACATCTAAGATCCCTTAAAAAATAGAAGGTCGTCTCCTTTGTGACAACTCTTTCCTTATCCCAGACACAAGGAAATGCCTATAACATCAAACTGATGTTTCCAACTTAGGAAAAAATGTCCTGAGTTCATGTAAAACCACCCTAAGGAATGTCTCTGGTGACCCATGTCTCTCCTCAGCCCCCCGCGTGGAGGTGTCCGTGGTGAGCTGTCACACCTCTTTGGAATCTTGCAGGACTCTCTAGTGTCCCCTTTGACCTTTGCCCCCACTCAAATCTTTGAGCGGTCTTGGTCTGCCTTGTCCACAGACACCCGGTCCCCTGCTGCTCGCCTCCAGACCTTGCGTCATCTGTTGTCTGCAGAAGGCCTGGAGTTGCCCCCAGGACTCTGCCCCCGGCTGGCTGGAGCCTACAGAGCGGCGCTGGGGCCTCCCTGGTGCCCATGGCAGCCTGGACTCCTGTGCCCGGCCCTGGCTGGCCCTGGCTGTGGGGGCTTTTTCCTCCCCAAGTGCAGCCACCTTTTCTTTTTTAACTTTTAGGGTTTTTAAAATTTTTTATTTATTCATGAGAGACACACAGAGGGAGGCAAGGACACAGGCAGAGGGAGAAGCAGGCTCCATGCAGGGAGCCTGATGCGGGACTCCATCCCAGGACCCCAGGATCATGACCTAAGCCAAAGGCAGACGTTCAATCACTGAGCCACCCAGGTGCCCCAAATTTTGTTTTTTATTTTTTATTTTTATTTTTATTTTTATTTTTATTTTATTTTATTTTATTTATTTAAAGATTTTATTAATTTATTCATGAGGGACACAGAGAGAGAGAGGCAGAGACACAAGCAGAGGAAGAAGCAAGCTCCACACAGGGAGCGCGATGTGGGACTTGATCCCAGGACTCCAGGATCATGCCCTGGACCAAAGGCAGGTGCTAAACCGCTAAGCCACCCAGGCGTTCCAAGTTTTGGTTTTTAATAGGTGATCACAGGGTTTTGTTCAAAAGCTGCAAACGGTTATAGAGGAGAGGTGATGTCACCCCCCACCCTTATCCCCACCCCAAGTCACCACAGCTGAGTTCTCTTACCTTTCAGGGGCATTCCCTGCATGGCCCAGTGCTGGTTCCCTCACACAGCCGGTAGTGTTATATACACACCTCCACCCTGCTTTTTACTTTACCATTTACCTTTGGCATCTTCCTGAATTTTCTCTGCATGTTTCTTGAACACTAGCAGCAACCCGTTCCTTCTAACCACTCTGCAGTGTCCATCCATAGGGGTTAGCATGGTGCTTGTTTGCACAGCTCCCGTTGGTGTACTTTGCTTTCTAAATAACGCAAACCACAGGAGAGTTCATGCTGCCTTCTACAAGCTTTCAGCCCAGCTCCCTCTGCTGCCTTAGAACTCAGGGTAACTGCATTTGGGGTCTCTTATAGTTGAACTTTGCTGTTCCAGCCCCATGCCGCAGCCTGAAACTCCCATTCTCTCTCTCTATGCCCTGTCAGCCCCGCGTCAGCAAACGCCTTCAGGAAAGAATGTGGCCACCATGTCAGCTCATGTAGAAAGGGCTTTTCCTTTTTTGGACTTCTGGTTCATCTACTTCCAGCTGCTTCTACAGCTTTGTCACTAGAAATGGGATATTTGCGATTTTTTTTTTTCTCAAGTTGCGACCACACTAGTGTTGACCTTCTCAGCTTGCTACATCATACCTGTGGTGAGGGCACCTGTAGTGTTTCCCTCTGACCAGGCAAGGGAGCCTTATGGCATTTGGTCCTCTGTGGCCGGGGCAGCATCGTGGCAACCATCCCAAGGTAGAGCAGGGTGTCATGAGGGAACCCCTGTCATGATCAGCCTGTGGCTGATCACCCCTGTCACCGCCCACTGACCGGGCTCTGTGGAGATGGCTGGGACAGGTTGCTTTCTTTCAGGGCCAGGCCAAGGAGGCCTGCCCAGAGCCAGGACTGACCCGTGTTTGGGCCCAGGTGCCTGGCGTGACAGGTCCAGTGCCCTGTGCCTCCTCCCATGGCCCCAGCTTCCCTGGACATGAGGGTGTAGGCAAGGCTCCTGGGCTTTGTGGAGGCTGACCTCTGACTACCCAAGATTGCAAATGTTGGGTTTTCACAGGAAGCCCAGTGGGAAGCTCCCCGCTCCAAGGCCTGGAGAACTGTCTCAGAGAGATACCAGTGCTCAGGCCACAGTCAGCCTTGTCCTGGTCTTCAGCAGGGGACAGGGGGCCACAGAGAACAGAGCCCAAGAACTGGACGGCGGACAAGGAAGGTAAAGCACGGCTTCCCCAGCATCTGAGCAGGGAAAGGTGACTCTTGCCCTGCCAGTGCCAGCCCTGCTTCCCCATGCAGCTGGCAGGCCCACAGCCAGCCCTCAGAGGAGGAGATGCTCTGGAAATGGCCTGGGCAGAGGCTTGTGTGAGGCCATGAAGCCAAAGGGCATGGCCAGCATCTGGGTGGTAGGTGGAGGCAGGGCAGGATACCCAGCCCCACTGCTGCTCCAAGTCCAGGCCTGAGCCAGGGCCTTGGCAGTGGAGTATCTTTCAATTCTGGCTGTGTTGTCCCCATGTACCTTGGTCCAGAGCAGTGGCTGAGCTGGGGGGCCTCCAGGAGTCCAGGGGGCTGGGTATGGGATAAACAGGTCCTGGGAGATTGGGGGCGGCTCCCGGGAACACCTGTAGGGCTGGCGTGCGTCCCACACCTGGAGCTCCTGTGCCCAAGAAGCCAACAGGGGCAGAAACTGTCCTCTGTCCAGTGTCTTCTTGCATCCATGCCCCACAGGGCTGACAGGCCTCTTGGCTTCTCATTCAAACAGGGCTGAGAGGCGAGGCCTGTGAGCCAGCCCACCTGGGACAGGGGCAGAGAGAGGCCCCCACCAGGAGCTTCCGGCTGGCCAGCCCACAGGCACTCACCTCTAGCAGCATCCCCGTCCCTGTGTGCTACCAGCGAGGGCTCAAAGACCCCGGGGTCCCCAGGCCGGGGCCATGGAGGTGGCTCCAAGATGGTGAGCTGACATCTGCCCTGGTATTTGGTGGCACGTCTTCCCTCCCAGTAAAATCTTCGATGAGGGACTAGATTTCCTGTCCGTCTCCTCTGTCCCTCACATTGCAGCCCAGTGCCCCTGGCTGCAGTGCCCTGAGGTGTGCTGGAGGAAGACCAGAAACTCGATCGCTGAAAGGACAGGGGAGAACGGTTTCCCTGCAGCCACCGGGTTTCTCTGGGAGACGACTGATTATCTGCTTTGTTGTAGTAGCTGCTGGGGTGGTGGGGTCTCCCTCTGCTGCTGCTCCTGTGCACTTGGAGCCGTGTTCCTTCCTGGGCCTGCTGGAGCAGGCTGGCAAGGTCTGACTCATCTGGATAAACGTGGTGTTTCTAAATGTTCCCAGAAGAAAAAACTGTCCCTGGGGGGCTTCCCGTGGATGTGACTGAGTCTCTGCTTTTGGACCACTAGTCCCGAGTGAAGTGCCTGCCTCTAATCCTGGGGCCTGTCTGGAACCAGTCTGTTAGAGGCTGGTACCAGGGACTTGAGACTTCAGGAATGTTCCCCGCTGGCTTTCTAGAGCAGCTGGGAAGCTGGCAAGGGCGAGAGCTGTTCAGGGTCTCCCCGAGCTTGTGTGGGGCCATTAGCTGACGTGAAGGGGGACCAGCTCTGCATGCCTGTTCATGAAGGCAGAGGGTCCTCCTGACCATCGCCAGGCTAAGGGATAGAATGTTCTTCTGTTGTCATTTGCCCAGGGGCAGCCATGAAGCCCTCCCCACTCCACTGTCTGGAGAACTCTCTGAAGGGGATCTTGCCTGGGAGGCCCCTGCGCTTTGCCTGCTTGGCAGGTCCCAGCCCCAGCCCCAGCCCCGGCTCCAGCTCTAGCTTCAGCAGCTCAGAAGGAGACGAGCTCTGGCAGCTGTTCCCACAGGGTGAGTTTGCGGGGGACAGAATAGGCCAGGGAGCCATCCCTGCTGGGGGATGTAGCCACTGCTCTGACACCAGCTCTGTGTTGCCAGAGAGGGACCGCCTTCCCGGCTACAAGGGTCCTGGCCCTCTGTCCCCATGCCCTGGCGGCGCCCCCACTGGCAGCAACCCTGGTGAAGGCCCAGGGAGAGCAGAGCCCGGGGACCACTGCGGCCTCAATGCAGGTGAGCGCGGGGGCTCCTGAGAGAGGGCCTGGATTCTCACTTTGCCTGGCTCTTGTCATAGTTGTCTACTTTTGTCATGCTTGAGTTCCCTGTAAGTTGTGCTATGTCTGTGAGAGAAGGTAGGACATAGGATCCCAGGATTGTTAAACAAGTGAGCTTCATTAGAGGGCAATGAACTTAAGGTGTGTACGTTCTCTCTAACACATACACATCGTATGCGCTAATAACATCTATATGCATATATACTATCGGTCCCAGCCTGTCAGTAGTGACACTCAGCGAGGGATGCCTGAGGCACTTGCCCAGCCCATGTCCCTCTTAGGGGGCCCCATGGACGTTCACCATCCCTGGGGCTAGTCCTTGTGCTTCTTATGACCATTGGACATATGTAAGCAAAAGCCATTAGGGAACTTTGAGGAATGGGATTTATTACCCACAGTCCCTGAGGGGCACATGGGGTGGTCGCAGCTAGAGAGCTAGAGGAAAAGCAGGCATGGACCTGGGACTCTGCCTTTATTTGGCTCAACGGTGGGGTGTCTGGGTTTGGCGGGTTCACTCTTTACCGGTGAATTTAAAGCATCAGAGCAGGAATTAGGGGCACAGCGAGGGAGAAGCGGGATTGCTCAGGTGGCCGGTTATCTAAAGCTATGTCACCCTGGGCCTTCTGAAAGAGGGATATCTATGGGTCGGCAGCCTGGTTCCCTGTCGGGTGGGTTTGCGAGTCACCATGTCACGCAGCTGGCGATGTTTGTCTGAGATGGGTGTCTGAATGGATAGCCCACCGATCAAAGGTTCAAGTCAGGCACTTGCTCTGCGTGTCCACACGTCTGTGTGTATGTAAGACGATGATGGTGATAGTAATGTGCATTTTCAAAATTTGAAAACAAATGAAAACTGTGTCAACAGTGAGGTTCGCCCACCTGGGAGGATTTAGAGGTTGTCCTGTCAAGAATGCCAAAAATGTGTCTGCTCTCCCAGGCAGCCTGGCTCCTTAGTCCAGGCCTGACCCAGTGTGTCTCCCAGCAGGAAGAGCAGAAGAAAAAACAGGAGGCAGGTCCCAGTTGCCCTGGAGAAACGTGTACCCGGAAACCCCGGGCCGGCCTGGCCCTCTGGGCAGTGCTGGAGGAGGTAAAAGTGGGATAATAGTAGGGAAGGGAACTCCCCACCTACTCAGGCCAGTGGCTCTATGTGGTCCTTGGCTCCTGCACAGGCCCGGCCGTACCAGTGTTCCTCATGGCTCAGTGGGTCTAGTGGGACATGGCAGAGGGGGCTGGGCACAGAGCAGTTTCCCATGGCCTGTGGGCCACCCCCAACATGGGGCCTGCAGATCACCGCCCTCTCCATCTGCCGCTTCTGGCCCCCCGCAGTAGAGCTAGAAGTGTCACACCCTTGCTGTGGAGGACTCCAGAAGAGTCCAGTCCACCCTCATCACACCTGCCCCGGGGGCCCATCAGCCAGGGTTGGACTCCCTGATGGGCCCAGTGTATCTGTCTTGCATCCTATTTAACCATTGTTTGAAAGGCTGAAAGTTCAATTTTTTAAAAAAAAATTTGAAGACTATTTATTTGAGAAAGAGCACATGCATGCAAGCAGGGGGTATGGGGGAGAGGAGGGAGAGAGACCAGCAGACTCCACGCTGAGTGCAGAGCCTGACTTGGGGCTCCGTCCCAAGACCCTGAGATCATGACGAGTCCCAATCCAGAGTCAGATGCTTAAGTGACTGAGCCACTCAGGCGCCCTGAAAATTCAGTTCTTTTGAGGCTCTGTCCCAATATCCACACATCAGAGTGGGTCTCCACAACTCAGGTGGTCTGTGCTCTTTCTACAGGGGCAGCTGTGAACCCCTGCCCTGCCCCTCAGTCGGAGAAAAGGCCTGGGCCGGGCCCCAGCAAGCTTCTCGGATCTGCCCACGGTCCCCTGTCCTGGAAGCCCAGGGTCAGTGAAGAATCCAGGGGTCTGGGGCCTGGAAATGGAAGACCAGGTGTTGCAGGTGAACCGGTGGCTTCAGGAGCGCTGAGGGCACAGGGTGGTGGGCAGGGGGTCAGCGTCTACAGTGGTCACCCATCTTCCTTCCCTCCTGCTCAGCTCCTCACGGGGCAGGCTAGCCAGAAGCCTGGGGAAAGCTTTTACCTAGCACCCCTGCAGGCTTATTCGGGTCACGGGTAGAAAGGGTCTCACCTTGAACTCCAGGTTGCTGTTTTTTTCAGCGTTTTCCTACAGAAATAGCTGGCTTTTTCATCAAAGCCCACGGGTACTTTTTAGAAGCAAGGATACCAGGGTAGATAATGCCCAAACTCAAAGTCTGACGTTTGAGGAGACTTTTCCCGAGAGATGAGGAAACAGGCCCAGTAATGGTGAGCAACTTGGCTGAGGGCATCCCAGGAGCCAAGAGCTGGGCTTCTGTGTCACACCTGCCATGAGGAAGCTCCTCACTGTACACTTAGAGGCCGGAGGGGGTGTGTGGGCCCGGAGGGGGTGTGTGGGGCTTGGGCTCCAGCTCCCTGTGGGACCCACACCCAGACCCTCCCACCGGCAGCTTAGTGGGGCCCCAGTGCTGGCTCCCAGGTTCTGCTGCTCTGAACGTGCAGTGCTTTCCTGAGAGCACTGAGCTGTCCTGAGGTGACCCTGCCCCTTGCCTCCTGCTCAGATAGAAGTGTACCTGCCACGCAGCCAACATCTTTGCCCTTAGCTTAGCTCCTTCCTGGAGAACCTGGCCAGGTAGCACTCCAGCCCCTCTGTGGTGCTCCAGGATCCACTTCTCTGTTTGAAGCCTGGAAGTACAGAGAGGGGGGCAGAGCTGGGTTGGGGTGCAGATGGGAGGAGGGCAGGGCTGGGCTGGGGTGCAGAGAAGGAGGGAAAAACAGGCTGCCCCACCAGTCCCTGGTAGTAGCAGGGCTTTCTTGTGAGGTTTGCCTAGGGTGGAGGCCAGTTCCAAGGGGCCTTACAGCAAAGGATTAGATGATTTAAAAAAAAGTAATTTAAGATCTAAAATCTTGTGACTCTCACCTCAGAATGGAGGGGTAGAGGTCAGGAGGGACGTGCTGATGACCAGCAGCCCTGGGTACTGACCAGCCCCCTGCTCACCGCACTAAAAGCCTCCCTGCCCCAGGCCGGTCTGGCCATCCTGGGCTCCTCTCCCACAGGCTCTCCGGCCTTGGCCTCCTGCTGTCCACTGAGCATTTCCAGACCCAGCCTAGTGACATGGTAGGGCAGGGTTAGGTGGTCTGGGATGCCACTTACTCTCAGAGGTGTCACAGAGAGCTGCTGAACCTTTTCCTAGAAGGTGGGCAGGCCATTTACCATCCTAGGAGAGTTTGAGACCCAGGCTGTGGTTTATCCTGTCCATGAATTTGGGGAGGAGCCAGGAGATGTGCCACCTTTGATGTCATGAGCAGTGGCATTGACATTCCCAAGCCCGAGTTACTTCGTCCCATCTGAGGCTGGGCCTTAGTGGGTGGGGAGGATGCTGAAGGGGCCCCCCAGGGGGAGACAGCTCTGACAGCCCAGGAACTCTCATCTCGTGTCCCTGCTCTGGTTTTAGCAAGGACGCACGGGAAGCCGCCTCCCAGAGGCCTGCCTGAGCCGCCCCCTGTGGCTGCCATCCCTCCGGCTTTGCCTCAGGCGCCCCCGCAGTCCTGCCCCTGCGGAAGTGGTCTGCAGCCAGAGCTCCGCAGCCTTGGCGCCGCCCTCTCAGAGAAGCTGGATCGGCTCGCCACGGCCCTGGCAGGCCTGTCTCAGGAAGTAGCCACCATGAGGACCCAGGTGGATCGGCTTGGGAAGCGCCCCCGCGGCCCTGGGTCCAAGTGCCAGGCTTCCTGGCCATGGGCCCCCTCCCGGGGACCTCGCTGGTCTAACGGCCCTGCTCACAGACACCTGCCCTATTGGAGGCAGAAGGGCCCCACCAGGCCGAAACCAAAGATCCTGCGTGGTCAGGCGGACGGCTGCAGGGCCGGTGACGCCTCGGGCCTCTCCAGAAGGTTCCGCCCGGTATCTCAGCTGCCGCCAGATGCCCCCATGGCAGAACCTTCTGGGCCCAGCTCCAGCCCTTCCCAGCAGCCTCTCTCCTCAGCACGCAGCTGCCGTGCTGGGGTGCCTGTGCCTGCCTCCCTTGGACACACGGGGGGTCACCAGAGTCCGCCCCTCCTTTCAGTGCCTACCGCCTTACCCCCACAGATGGCTTCTCTCACAACCAGGGGAGATGCAGAGCCACGGTTTGCAGCAGTGGTGCCACCTGGGACCCTCAGCTGGCCCAAGGATGCAAGCAGCCTGATGGCAGGGGTCCAGAGAGCCTGCGAGGAGGAACTGTGGGTCCCGAGGCAGGGGACCCCTAGCCACCTTCTTCAGCAGCTTGGTCCTGCTGATGATGTCCCGACCCTGCCCCCTTCTCCTAGGGGCTGTCCCACCCCCTCAACCTGCTCCAGCCGAACCTTCCCCGCTTCCGGGCCGTGAGGGGGCTGGGTGTCCTGCCACTGGCCTGACCAGCCCTGACCCCAGGACGCTGTTTGCTCAGGGAGGCCACTCTTTGGTGTGCATCTCAGCCACACCTCTGGCCTTCTTGGCTCAGGTTCATTCAGATGCTGCTTCCCCAGCTTGTCCTTCCCACTGGGACAGCCCTGGCTTGCAGGTGGCTGGGGTGCCCGCGCGTATATGCATGCCACGTTTTCCTGGTTGCTCCAGCGGCTGCCCTGCCTCCTCGCACCTGCCCTTCCTGGTCTCAGCACTAAGGAGGGCTCAGCTTTCCCTTTCCTGGTCAAGAGGGGCTGTGGGTGTTCTTTGGAGAGAAACCTGCCCCTTGGTTGATGCTGGATTTGCCTGCAGAGTCTAAGTGGAGAAGTAGGGGTACCAAGGGAAAGGCCCTCAGCTTCTTGGAAGGGGCCCCGGTGCAGCTGGACCAGGGCCGCCGTCGGTTCTGTGACCAGGATGAGCACCTAGTGGGCTCATCTGCCTGCCTCTGTGCACCCTCGAGGGAATTCAGTCTCTGGAAAGGTGGGAAGGTCAGCTGTGGAACGGAATTCCCAGATGGGCCCTTGGGTGAGCAGTGCGCGTTCTGGGGCCCACGGACCACAGCACAGGTAGTCATTCATGGCCTGGAGGCCACAGTCTGAGGTCAGGGTGGCGGCAGGGCAGGTGCCTGCTGAAGCAGTGAGGGAGAGTCTGCCCCAGGGCTCCCTCCCGCTGTCACTGGTCCACTTGTCCACCCCCGTACGCACGACTCGGGATACTGCCTCTGTAGGGACCTTGTCGGACTCAGCTCGTGCTGACGCCCTCACTGTGACTTGACCTTCCTGCTGTTAGGTGCTGGGACTTAGGACTTCAACATGAATTTTGGGGGCACAGTTCAAACCCTAACATGTGTAAGAGACTGGGTTATGCCTTCTTGAGTTCATCTTGGGAGAAGTGAGCATGGCTAAGGCGTCTCTAGGCCAGTAGGACCTGCCTCATGTCCTTCCCCAGGGTCAGCTTGTTCCCCCCCAGGCTCACATTCCCACTTCCATCCTTATTAAATGTGAAGAATCCTCGGGAACTGTCTGTGTCCAGGTTGCTGAGGCAGGGCCACCCTGCTGGGCTGATGTGGTCAGCTCTGCTGTCAGGGAACACAGATGCCACTGCAGAGGCGCAGGCCGGCTCCAGGCCCTACAGGGGCTGTAGCCCCATGGCACAAGCAAGGTCCTGTGGCTGCTGTGCCTGGTCAGGGGACTGGGGACGCACACAGGGCCAGGCCCATGCTCCTGGTCGCCCCTCTGGAAGCAGCACCTGCTGAGGTGGGAGGGAAGGGAGAGGGCCTGGGGCTGACAGTCTGTCATGGGGTGGGGCGGGGTGGGATGCGCCGGGAAGCATTGAAATGTTTCCAGGTCAGGAGTAAGTCCTAAGATGACTGTCTCAGAAGCTGAGGTCTAGAAGATCACAGTAGTACGATGTTTAGAATAGGCAGTCTCTTCACATCTAGCCATACTTGATAAAAGAATAAGGAACAGAAAACTTCTAGACTTTCCATTCAAAGACCTCAGGAAGAGGAGTCCGTTGCTTTTCAGGCTTCAGGGACCATGGAAAGGGTAGGACAGGGCCGGGAGGGGACGAAGGGTGCAGTCAGCAGGAAGAGGTTTTGTGCACTCCTCCCCCCTTCTCAGCAGCGGTCATGGGGGTGGCCCAGCACCCACCTTTGAATGGCATCTTAAGGTTTTCTTTGTGGACCTCCTGAGTATCAGCCATCACACAGACCCTGCGCGGCAGGCGTAAAGGAGCAAACGAGCTCAGAGGGTGTAAGTGACTTTGCATTTGCACAGCTTGTCCTTGGCAGAGCCTGCAGGGGCACCCCTGTCGGTGCTTGGCAGCAGGGCACGCGCCCTCCTCTGCTGGGTGACCCTCCTGCCAGCCTTCACCTGCACTGCAGACAAGGATGTTCAGGGTGAGCCCAGTCTGGGTGGTCCAAATCCAATACCACCGTACATGAAGTTTAAGTTTTTTGTTTTTTGTTTTTTTAAGAATGTGGAAAACAAGTAATAAAATGAACAGTAAGAAGCTTCTTGATCCGTGTGTTTGTCTCACAGGTCCACTGCTGCCCAAGCACAAAACCCTCTTTCAGTCGTTAACTGGAAAATCTAGAATCACTAATTTGGTAGAAAGTCTGTGTGGTTTAGTATAGTGCGTGCATCTCCTTCACCTACTTCACGAGGAAACGTGGTCCCCTTTGGTGAGAAGAAGAGGGGCTATTTGGGACTCAGGAATTCCAGGCCCCAGGGGTTGGGGCTTAGGGCGTAGAGCGGAGAAGGCTCCAGCCCTGCCTGCCCCTGTGTGGTCATTCCTGAAGTAGTTTGGCCGGTGGCTCCTGGTGCACCTGGATACAAACCTACCCCACATTTCAGGGGTCCTTGAAGTCTTCCCTCTGCTGCCTGCCAGAAAAGCAAGAAGGGGCTTAATCTATCAGAATCAGAGTGGGCTCCCCAAAGCCTCCAGGCCTCAGGCTGGTCAGAGGGTCCACTGGAAGAGGGGCTGTCGTGGTGTGGGGTGTAAGGACCACGGTTTGCTGCCTGCCATGTCCCCTGATGTCACCATTCCCTCCCAGGCCAGACTTGACTCCACCTTTCCTCCACCTTTCATCTTTCTGTTCCAGATGTGGCTTCTGTAAAGAGCCTACAGTTGGCTTTTATTTTTGAATCCAACTTGACAAATTCTGTTTAGAGACCTTAATCCATTTATGTGTATTATGATTATGATAGAGTTAGATTTGAATATATGGTCTTATTTTGTGCTTATGTTTGTCCGTTCTGTTTTTTCCCCCTTTCTTGCCTTTTTCCTTTTTTAAGATTTTATTTATTTATTTGGCAGAGAGAGTAAGCAGGGGAGGAGCAGAGGGAGAGGGACAGCAGACTCCCTGCTGAGCACAGAGCCCACCCTGGGGGGCTCTATCTCAGACCCCAAGATCATGACCAGAGCCAAAATCAAGTCAGATGCTTAACTGAGCCGCCCAGGCACCTCTCCTGTCTTCTTTTTAATTGACAATGTTGTGGGTTTTGTCTGTTTTTAATCATTTCATCTTCCCTCTACTAGCATCAACATTTAAAGAACTAGGAGGAAAAACACCCAAGTTTACAATCAGATTTGGGAATTTTTAACATACCTTTTTCAGAAATTTTAATTTTAATTTTTTCCCTTTTCAGAAATTCATAGAACAAATCAGGAAAGATATAGATGTGAATAAGCCAACTAATAAAGTTGGCTTGATTGATGAATATCTAGAACACTGAACCATAGAACTACAGTACAAACATTCTGTTCAAGTATACACAGGACATTTACAAAAGTGACCATATGGGATCTCTGGGTGGCGCAGCGGTTTGGCGCCTGCCTTTGGCCCAGGGCGCGATCCTGGAGACCCGGGATTGAGTCCCACATCGGGCTCCCGGTGCATGGAGCCTGCTTCTCCCTCTGCCTGTGTCTCTGCCTCTTTCTCTCTCTGTGTCTATCATACATAAATAAATAAAAATTAAAAAAAAAAAAAAAAGTGACCATATACTAAGTCCTGGAGCAAGTTTAAACAAATTTAAAAGTAATGAGATTATACAGAATATGTTCTCTGACCATATTTTACTATCAAAAATCTTTTACTGCTTCCATACTAGAAGCGATTTTTTTTAAAGATTGTATTTATTCATGAGAGACACACAGAGAGAGGCAGACATAGGCATTGGGAGAAGCAGGCTCCCTGCAGGGAGCCCGATGCAAGACTCTATTCTGGGACTCCAGGATCATGCCCTGAGCTGAAGGCAGACACTTAACTGCTGAGCCAGCATCCCTAGAAGCAATTTTTAAAAAAATATTTTATTTATTTATTCATTCATGAAAGACAGAGAGAGGCAGAGACACAGGCAGAGGGAGAAGCAGGCTCCATGCAGGGAGCCTGATATGGGACTTGATCCCGGGTCTCCAGGATCTCGCCCTGGGCCAAAGGCAGGTGCTAAGCCACCAGATGCTTAACTGACTGAGCCACCCAGGGATTCTTAGAAGCAATTTTTAAATGAGAAATCATATTTTAAAAAATGCATTATGCTCCTAAATAACCCGTGTGTCAAAGAATAACAAAGAACCACATCTCAAAGCTTGTAGGACAAAGCTAAATCAGTACTTAGAAATATGAAGACATACACGGGTATGTGAAAAACTAAAGGCTGGGAATTTACAAGGAGGTACAAGTAGGATAGCAAAGGAAATCCTTACAGGAATGACAAGGGCGTGTAAAAAGAAATTAATGTGAAAGTTTACCTATAATAGACCCAATTAAGAAAAACAAGAGTTTTCCCACAAAACTAATAAAACTGCCCAGCTTATGGTGAGATGGATAACCATCTCAGGATGAACAAAGTGACATCACTACAGATGCTGCTACAGACCAAATAAAAAAATATATTTCAAGCAACTTTTGGCCAAAATTTTGATGATTCAAATATATAACTCCCACAAGAATACAGCTTAACACAACAGACTCAAGAAGAAATAGAAAATCTGAATTGTTCCATACCATTGAAAAAATTGAATTCATGATCAAATGTCCCATAAAGGAAATGACAGACCCAGAAGGTTTCACTTCTAAATTCTACTTCTTATTTGAGGAGATTATTTCAATAATCGGACTGTATAGGAAATGCAAGGTGTTTTTTTTTAAGAAAGTGGAAAATAAGCAATAAAATGAGTGGTAATAACCTCCTGGTCTTCAGCTATGTTCTTCTGAGAGGTCCACTGCCCCACAAACACAGTATTCCAAAGAATGCACTTTCTGACTCCTTGTATGGGACTAGCATAATCTTGAAACCAAAACTTGAGGACAGTATAAGAGAAAATCACAGACTAACCTAAAAAAGTGTACAGAGAAGCAAAAATTCTTTTAAAAAAGGTTTATCAAACAATCTAACAATTTATAAAAAGAATAAAATATAACAGCGTTGGGTTTATCATGGAGATTCACAGATGGTTTTAACATTTGAAAATCACTAGTGGTAACCCAGGATAACAAAGGAGAACATCATGTGGTCATCTCTATAGCTGCAGAAAGATCATTTGATAAGAGCTAACATCTGTAAGTAAACCAGAATGAGAAAGGAAATTTCTTAATTTGATTATCTACCAAAAAAAAAAAAGGCTTATAGTAAATAATAGTTAATGGTGGCATCTTGAAGTGTTTGCTCAGATCAGAGACACAAAAAGGAGGCCCACTCTTATACTCTTATTCAGCATTAAAATGGGTGTTGTAGCCAGGATAGTGAGCCATGGCTAAAGGAAGGTATGAGGACCAGAAGGAACAATAGAGTCATTGGTCACAGAGGATATGACTATATACATAGATAATTGAAAGGAATCTATAGATAAGCAATTAACCTTAAGAGTTATTAGGGTAACTGGCTCACATATTTGCATGTACCCACAACTGACAGAAAGTAAAAAATTAAGTTTTCATTTACAGTAACACAAAATTCAAATATCTAAGAACAATATCCACCAAAGATTTACATGGAGAAAACTGTTGAGCAGTTTTTAATGATTTTCTTCATCCTTTATTCCTCATAACAGTTTAGGTAGATGTGAATAAGTTATTACCATTCTTACTTTACAGAGGAAGAAACTGAAGCACAGAGAGGTTAATAAACTTGCTCAAGGTCATACAGCTGGAAGGGGACCGAGCTGGGCTTGGAGTTGGACTTGGAGCTGGGGTAATCTGGCTTCAGAACAAAGTGAGGCCCTAAAACATGCAGATAAAGAGCATGCTTAAAGCTGCATCTTCAAGCTAGATTTGGTGGAGCCTGAGGCCACTCAGGGAGGAAGAAAAAACATCAAAGTTTAACCTAACCCACAACGTTTATTTGTATGTTATTTGTTGACTGCTCCCCGCCCCTTTATAAACCACGAATCAGAGCAGACACGTACTGTCTGTGCCCCCACAGTGGAGGGAGGGACGCAGTCGGGGTTCCCTAAACATGTACTGAGTATCTGCATAATGCTTTCACTTGGATTTGGGACACGGCGGAGTGAGGGCTGTTGGAATGAATTTGTTGAAATGGTTCAAGTACTTCTAAAAGCCTTGGATTTAAATCTGTAAAATGTCTAGGGCCTGGTGGTGATCTGGAGGCGGTGTTTCAGGTGGTGCACAGGCGGGGAGAGCAGCGGTCCTCACCCCTGCCTGCACATTGGGATCACCTGGGAAAGGTCTAAAAGCCATCTGGTCGGAGCCCACTCACAGGGCTGCTAGTTCTAGTGATCTGGAGTGGGGCCTAGCAGT